TATATATATATATATATATATATATATATATATGAGTCGGTGAAACTCTGACGAAACAGTTTGTCACAGCCCCTCGTTTGTTGTCCTCTTCTCCCTCTCTGCCTACGGGTTACCGGGTAGTTCTATTTGACGATATATATATATATATATAAAAAGAAAAAAAATAGAATTTTATTTTTAATTATATATGTATGTGTGTGTGTGTGTGTATGTGCATGCGTGTATGTGTGTGTTTGTGTGTGTGTGTGTGTGTGTGAGAGAGAGAGGGAGACAGAGAGAGACCTGCAGCATGCAGCGTGTAAGTGGCGGGGAGCACAAGGGCAGGCACTGACCTCCAACAAAAAGAAATAATTTTATCGGAATACAAGAGTTTTTTCTTTTCGAAATCCGAATAGAAAGGGTACACGTTGTATTCGAATACAACGTGTATTTTTCCTATTCAAGAAACTCTGCTATTCGAAAAATTAGACCCACAATTTCGCAGCCAAAAGGTTGCGCTTAGTGCGGTTGTTTTTTTGTCGTTTTGTGACAGTTTTCATTTCGGGCAATGTCGTCGAGTCCAAAGGAGGTCGAAGGGGGGAAAGGGGGGAATTTCGGGGTGCGGAAATGAAAAAGGGAAGGGTGCAGTGGGTTGGAAGTCTAAGACCAATAGCGGGTCTGTTTTAGGAGCGGGCGACCTATTGTAGCATATGCAGGTCGTCGGTGTGTTGTCCCGCTCGACGTCCGGTGCTTCCTCTTTGGGAGAAAGGGTGAACAAATATAGGAGGTAATAGGAGGTAAAGGAAGGAAGGAAAGGAAAGGAAAAACACCGGAGGAGAGAGGGTGTTTGTTTTCTTTTTCTAAAACTTTTATTTTATTATTATTGTTTTCTTTTACTTCATTTATTATTATTATTATTTATTTAACTCTTCCGCGCTTGTAGATACAGGTTGGGGGTCAAGTCCCACTAGCAGCGTTGAGCTACCTCAACGCATGAATCTGAATGTGTTTGTGGAGACATGCAGTTCAGGAAACTCAACCCCATTTCTCCACAGCTCTGCAAAAGCGTCCAGATTTCGGCGTTGAGGTAGCTCAACGTGGCTAGTGGGACGTGACCCCGGGTAGGCTGCGATTTTTTCTGGTTGATTTTTTCGGGTTTTTGTGCGGCTGAGGGGACGTGGCGAGCAACACGAATGGAAGCGGAAGGGATGAGAGGGGGTTGTCTGCACATCAAACGAAAAACGAAACAAGTGCATCTTCCTGCAGAAAATGGCCAAGTTCGTCGATTTGCTATAAATAGTAAGGAGTGTACGTTTCCCCCTTTCACAGGCAGCTGCACTCGGTTCGTTTTTTTTTTTTTTTTTTTTTGGTTGCAGTCTTTCCATTAACATGGGCAAAATGAGGCCGGGAATCCCTCAACATACCAACCCGGAGATGCCTGGGGCCATTACCTAGATAAGGCTTGAGTCGGAAATCGGGTCCAGCGTCCCTGTGCTGCCACTCTCAAATAAATCAACAATTGGGCTAGCCAAGTGATAAACCAAAGTATACTGAAGGACTACCATGTAACTTAGGGCCCTCATGCCCCTATCTGTAGTTCTAAACCTATGTTTAATGTAGACGAGGTCGGGAAAACCTCCACCTTTCGACCCGGGAAAAAAAACCGTGATCCTGAAGGCTAGCCTGACCTTTGCTGGAAATCGGGTTCAGTGTCCCTTGGGGCCTGGAGTGTCCCAAAGTCGGGATATGTCGAGCTTGTAAACCTGTGGAAAAAAACAACTGTTGTGGAAGGGAAAACGTCCCCTGCGGTAGTGCTGGAAACCGGGTCCAACACCCCTTGGAACTAACGGGATCTAGTCGGGTCCCTAGAGGGGAGTGGATGTCTCCCTAAGGTTCGGGATGTTGATCTTGTTACTGCGTTGAGCTTGGGGTAGAAACTAGGCCTGGCCTATTTCGACTAGAGGAGGATCCAAGTTTAGGATTTGGGTTAGGTTAGCTATTTGGAGAAGACAATTTTGCCTTCAGGAGAGATCATTGCCAGTTTGTTATCCTTGGCCCAGGTCGTCCTAAGCTGTAGCTGGTTTGCATAAGATTGCTTCCCTGATCTCCACCAGTCAGCCACGATCAAGAGCCGGATGTTTACCTTGATTCGGAAGGTTATCTGTGGGAAGGGAATTTCAACCTTCGTGAAAGTCTTGGAGTTGCGTGCCGACCAGATTCCCTCCATGACCACTCCTCTGCAGGCCAGGGCTACATAACCCAGACCTTGGAGAGAGTGGCCTAGGGGGGGATGCCTGACAGTATCCAACGGTCGGTCCATACGAAGGTGTCGTTGAACAGGGTTTTCCATTGTTCCTTCGACCATTCCCGAATCCGGGCTGATAAAGGGCAGTCCAACCACAGGTGGGCGGAGGATTCCCATCCCCACTCGCACTTTGAGCATGCTGTGTCCAAGTCCATGCCTTTGGCTTTCAGCCACGTGGCTGATGGGGTAACCTGCAAGGATTGTAACCACATGATCGCTCTTTGTTTTTGCGGGGGGAGTTTTTTCAGTGCTTTCCAACTCGGTTCGTTTTCGTTTCGTGTGTAGTGTGGCGATGCCCCAAATAAATTAAACTGATACCACGCGGGGCGTGGGGGCGCAGCCAGGAGGGTGGCTGACCGGTGATCGGCCTTCGACAGCCGCCCTGCACTTTTGTTGTCGACCCGCCAAAATTCCATGCTCCACCGCTGTTTTTTTTTTTATATATTGAACCCGCGACGTCGTGAATGCAACTTCTATGTCTTACCAACTGAGCTAGGCCCGCTACAAAGCAACCAACAACATCAGCCAACGTCTTGCCAACGCTGGCTTGGGGGGCCAACGGGTTATCTCTAGCCGGTAGAACACCAAGCTTCCCCAGGCAATTCGTGAGGCCATTGGGGATTGAACCCACGACATCCTGAATGCAACTTCTGTGCCAAGCGCGGTCTATCAGTTTGAAAAAGGACTGCGCCTCCTACGCGCAGTTACGGGTCCTACCCGTGCGGTCCCACGGGCAGCTACCGGTCCTGCAGTTTCGAATAAGATGCCACCACCCCCTAAACTGCCATGCCTTGTTTTTCCAGCCTTCCAACGACCGTATAACGAACGAGGACGAAAAATGTTCTCAGGGGCATAAAACGCACCCCTGAGGGGCTGCGAATCGGCCTTCGAGCTCGGTGCAGCCCACCCTGGACTGCAGATCCGGGGTAAGTTCTTCCCGCCTTATCCCTCAGTCAATTATTGCGTGAATCTTGTTCACTGGCTCAATGCGCTTTTCCTGCTGCCCCATTTTCATCCCTTTCACGGCACCAATAGGATTCTTGGACGTAACCACTCCAAGAGGACTGAAATGTGGATGGCGGGAGTGTGGATGTTAGTTTGTCGGTCCTTTTGGGTCTTTTGGGTCAGCAATCGAGTGTAGTCTGTCGTTTCGGAGATTTTCGGAGTAAGTTTAACGTTGACGGCGGCGGGAATGTGTATGGAGGAGAGAAGAGTGCAGGGTGAAGGGAGGTGGTGGTGGTGAAAGCCCCCTGAGGACGATTGTGTGGCTGCCGTCGAAACCGGTTTTGGGGTAGGGGTAGCCATACCCACCGGAGCTCGGTCGGAATTGCTTAGTGATTGCTTTTTGAGGTGTACGATGTTCTTCCTGAGTGATTACCACCTCCTTGTCACTGCACTTACATCTCTCCCTACGTATCCACCAGCCACCTAAGTGAAGCAAAGAAGAAAAGAAAGAAAGAAAGAAAGAGAAAGGAAGAGGAGAAGAAACTGAAGCGAAGATCGTTTGTCGCCGTTCAGCTCCGGGTTGTCGTTTGTCGCCGTTAAGCTCGCGGGTATTCGGCGCGAAGTTGGATCTGTCTGTCGGTCGGAGAGAGAGAGAGAGAGAGATTGCGAGATCGCAGAGGTGGGGGGGGGATCAGGGGAGGGGACGACGATTGTGCGCGATAACGAGAGCAGCGGCGGCGGCGGCGGAAATGGCGCTTAGTTGTACAAGAAGTGTGAACGTGATCTCGTCATGCGTTGGGCAGGCGGCGGAGTCTCAGCGGTTGGGATCTGAGTTGCAGGCTTCGTCGAGCGTCGATGCCACCGTGCTTGATTGGAGGAGACGAGGGATATGGTCGTGCGGCTGCGGGTTCCGGAGCGTGCGCGGCGGCGGCGGCGGCGGACGCAGGGCGATGGCGAGGTGGGCGCGAGCGGAAGCGGCGGAAGTCGGCGGAAGTGCGCGGGGAAGCGGCGCGGAGTGTCGGAGGACACCTATGGCCGAGCGAGTGCATCGCATTCGAGAAGCGGCGATGAGAGGTGCGACGGCGATAGATCGAAAGCCGAGGCAGGAGGAGAGGAGGGGGGGGGAGGAGGAGGAGGAGGAGAACGTAGAGGAGGAAGAGGTGGGCATGGAGCACGATTTCATGAGGGAGGAATGTGGGGTAGTTGGAGTCCACGGCAGCTCAGAGGCGTCTCGGCTGTGTTATCTCAGCCTGCACGCCCTGCAGCACAGAGGTCAGGAGGGCGCCGGGATCGCGACGTACGACGACCAGACCGGATCGCTCCGCACTGTCACTGGCATGGGGTTAGTAGCTGACGTGTTCAATGCGGAGAAGCTGAAGCAGCTTCCAGGCACGTGTGCCATCGGGCATGTTCGGTATGCCACGTCAGGCGCCTCATCGCTGAAGAATGTGCAGCCTTTTGTGGCAGGGTACAGATTTGGATCTGTGGGACTTGCGCATAACGGGAACCTTGTCAATTATTGGCAACTGAGGGAGATGCTGGAGGAGGAAGGGTCCATTTTCAATACATCATCTGACACAGAAGTCATCCTTCATCTGATTGCCAAATCGAAGCAAAGGCCTTTTATCTCGCGATTAGTAGAAGCCTGTGAGCAATTAGAGGGTGCTTATTCACTAGTGTTCATCACCGAGGGAAAGCTTGTAGCTGTACGTGACCCTTATGGGTTTAGGCCTTTGGTGATGGGCCGTCGCAAGGATGATGGAACCATCGTCTTTGCGTCGGAGACGTGTGCCTTGGACCTAATCGAAGTCGCATACGAGAGGGAGGTCAATCCAGGAGAGGTAGTGGTGGTGGATACCGATGGCAGCATTTCCAGCATCTGTCTTCTTCCCAAACGGAAGCAACAAGCTTGTGTCTTTGAGCACATATACTTTGCACTTCCAAACTCCGACGTCTTTGGCCGCTCTGTTTACCAATCACGATTCAAGTTTGGTGAGATACTAGCGGAGGTGGCGCCTGTGGAGTGCGATGTGGTCATCGCCGTGCCCGATTCTGGAGTCGTCTGTGCGCTGGGGTACGCTGCCAAGGCCGGCGTCCCGTTCCAGCAAGGGCTGATTCGATCCCATTACGTTGGGCGAACGTTCATCGAACCTAGTCAGAAGATCCGCGACTTCGGAGTCAAGCTCAAGCTTGCCCCCGTGCGGGCCGTCCTCAACGGCAAGCGGGTGGTGGTCGTCGACGACTCCATCGTCAGAGGCACGACGTCGTCGAAGATCGTTCGGCTTTTGAAAGAAGCCGGTGCCAAGGAGGTGCACATGAGGATCTCCAGCCCGCCCATCACTGGCTCCTGCTATTACGGTGTCGACACGCCCAGTAGGGAGGAGTTGATATCGGCAACCCTAAGCGAGGAAGAGACGCGCAAGTTCATTGGGGCGGATTCGCTGGTGTACCTGCCTCTGAACAAGCTGCATGAGATGCTGGGGGAGGAGGCGCCTTTCTATTGCGACGCATGTTTCTCGGGAAACTATGCTGTCCATCCATCGCCTGTTTACCAGGCGTCCTTGCCAGTAGATAGGCTCTCCGGTCTGCCTGTTGCTGCTTTAGATGGCTGCATTGGCCGGCCTCACCCCGAGGCGGAAGCGGGGCAACCTGTCCCTGCCTGACAATCCATCAAAGCATGCACGACGTACACGTACACACACGCTGATTGATTGATTCCAAGAAGGTTTGGTGGGGTGGGGGGGGGAGGAGGCCCCCTTTTTATTACGACGCGCATGTTTCTCCTGCAATTATGCTGCTGTCCATCCATCCATCGCCTGTTTGCCAGCCGTCCTTGCCAGTAGATAGGCTCTCCCGTCTGCCTGCCTGCTGCTGCTGCTTTGGATGGGCGTCTTGCCTGGCCTCAACCCGACGCGGAAGCCGGACATCAACCTGTCCCTCCCTGCCTGTCAAGCAACGGTCCAATCTATCAACAAAGAATGCACGACGTACACGTTAAGCTGATTGATTCCAAGAAGGTTTTATGGGAAGGTGGGAGGAGGCCCCCTTTCTATTGCGACACGTGTTTCTCTGGAAATTATGCTGTCCATCCACCACCACCTGTTTACCAATCCATTCGCCGGAAATTATGCTGTCCAATCCATCAGGACGTACACGCACGCTGATTGATTCCAAGAAGGTTGGGTGGGAAGGTGGGAGGAGGCCGCTTTCTAGTGTGGGCAAACTCTCTCTCGGGTCTCCGTGCTGCTGCTGCTGCTTTTGATGGCCGTCTTGCCTGGCCTCACCCCGAAGCGGAAGCCGGAGAACAACCTGTCCCTCCCTGCCTGACAAGCAACCGTCCAATCCATCAACAAAAAACGCACGACGTACACGGAATGAAAGCTGATTGATTCCAAGGCGGGGATGTGATTTTCCATGGAATGAATGCCATCAGCAAGTTGTGGAAATGTCCAAGAACGAACTTAAGTTGGAAGATTCCACTGAATGAATGAATGAATGAATGAATGAATGAATGGTGGCAGCATCTGCGGCAATGTTAGAACGAACTTAAGTTGGAAGATTCCACTGAATGAATGAATGAATGAATGAATGGTGGCAGCATCTGCGGCAATGTTCAGATCTGGAAGTTGGATGTTCTGTATTAGATGTAATTAATCACAGCCTTCGTTCTTGACGGATGTCGTGGGGGTGGGGAACGGTGGCGCTGTGTGGGTGATTAATTACTTACGACGACTCCATGGCTGATTCAACACGTTGGTTGATGGGACCGTTGATGAAGCGCTCGAATCGAATGGTTGGTTTAGGGTTTGTTAAACTTTGTTGTTGATGGTGTCAACAATTCATTGGTCCGTTGGCGGTATGAATGAGAGGGAGGGGATCTGTTAGTGTTTTCCGATGCCTATGATGGATGAATGGTAAGCTCGTTGACGCCTGCATTATATTATAATGTAGCTAAAATCCTTAGCTACGACGTGGGGGAAAGACGGACAAGGAGTTGTGCCACGCGGGACACAGGCAGAGAAGAAGATTGTGCCGGTAGGGAGTTGTCCCACGTGGCACAGAAGAAGGTAGGGAGTTGTGCCACGTGGCACAGAAGAAGGTAGGGAGTTGTGCCACGTGGCACAGAAGAAGGTAGGGAGTTGTGCCACGTGGCACACAGGCAGGTAGGGAGTTGTGCCACTTGGCATACAGGTAGGTAGGGAGTTGTGCCACGTGGCATACAGGCAGGTAGGGAGTTTTGCCACGTGGCACACAGGCAGTTGAAGGAGTTTAGCCAGATTGCCAGGTGGGGAGCGAAGGAGTGAAGTTGCGTGTGCACTGGTTGATAAAGATCGGTGCTACATTTGTAGTGATTAGCATTTGTCGCCATGTTAGGCAGAGGTTCTGGAGACACTTAGCGTGCACAGAGGAGAAAAGTATGGGATTCTATTCAGATGGCATGGGAAAATTGGTGCTAGTGATGAGCATTTGTCTCCCTGTTAGGCAGAGGTTTCTCTCTCCCTCTCTCTCTCTCTCTCTCTCTCTCTCTCTCTCTCTCTCTCTCTCTCTCTCTCTCTCTCTCTCTCTCTCTCTCTCTCTNTCTCTCTCTCTCTCTCTCTCTCTCTCTCTCTCTCTCTCTCTCTCTCTCTCTCTCTCTCTCTCTCTCTCTCTCTGTGTCTCTCTCCCTCTCTCTCTCTGAGAGACTTAGCGTGCACAGAGGACGAGAGTATGGGATTCTAATCAGATGGCATGGCCGGATTGGTGCTAGTGATGAGCATTTGTCTCCTTGTTACTAGGCAGAGGTTTCGCAGAGACTTATCGTGCACAGAGGATACAAGTATGGGATTGTATTCATATGTCATGTGAGAGTAGAGGAGCGTGTATGGATCGGCTGTTCGGACAGGAAGACTTTTTCCCGCTTTTGTACCAATACCACGTAGCTGTCTTCAAGCCGACTGTAGTTTTTTTTTTTTTTTTTTTCCGGGGGGGTGCGGAGTTGAGTAGGGGGAATCAATGCATAAACCCTTTAACAAAACAAGCAACAACTTTCGCCTCCAGCAGCATGGCTGGGTGGATGGGTGGGTGGGTGGCTGGAAATTTGACACAGAGCTTATCTAGTAGCCTCTAGCTGCTGCTCTCCAGCACTTAGTTTTTGAAACTTTTTTCGTTTCGTTTTTGCAACTCTTCTTCTTTTTTTTTTTTTTTTGGCAACTCTTCTTTTTTTAAGGGCAACAGCCTTGAGATTTCATCATCAAACTGACCGGCCCGAGGTAGTTTAGAATTCTTGTATGTCACTCGTCTGGATTCGAACGCAGGTCTCTATTTCAACAGTCCATTGGTGTACCAACGGAACCAACGGAGCTAGGACCGTTGGGCCCGTTGGTTGGTAAAGCGAGAGCAATTATTATTATTATATATATATTTGCGCACTGATAAATTTGTGACTATATATATTAAAAAAAAAAAAAAAAATTGGGGAGCGAGAGCAATTACCCTTCTCGCCGCCTGCCTCTGGGAATCTCTCTAGGGGCGCATACTCACACTAGGGGCGAGGTCCCACTAGCAAAGAGGATCTGATCGAATGCCTGAATCTGGATGTGTTTTATGCAGAGATGGAGAAAAGCAGTTCGATGTCGATTTCCTGCACCTCTGTACAAACAAGTCCAGATTCAGGCGTTCGATCCGATCCTCTTTGCGAGTGGGGCCACACCCTAGGGCTTTTTCCTCAACGCTGTGGCCGTAGTTGGGGGGTTAGGTGCGTGCAGGTCTGGCTGCAATTGCGGTCAGATGCATTCTACATAGTGCTAGTGTGAGGATGCATGCCTTCTAAGAGTTGAGCCCATGCACCCTTTTTTGTCTCCATTTGTGATACCGGACAATTGCAATTGCTTGCCTAATCTTTTTTTTTTTTTTTTTTTTTTTTGAAAGGCTTGATTGCCAAAAAGTTCGAAAGACAAGAAAAAAGTGCACTCTAGTGACTCTACCCTTTTTTCTGTTTTTTTTTTTTTTTTTTTGTTGTTGTTGTATAGGCGGCGCCGACGGCCTTTAGCTATCATCATTGAACTGACCGACCCCTTTTTGCAAAAGCGATCAGAATGTTTTTTCTTCTCTTCATCTGACGAAGCTTTTTCTGGATATCCTGAATCTGGACGTGTTTTAAAGCAGAGATGCAGAGAAGCAGTTCAATCGCTTCGTGGCCGGCCCCTAGATTTTCCCTTTCC